TAGTGGTTCAACAGTTATCTCCATTATTAAATGCTCACCCCAGTAAGTGTAGCTACCATCTGTGAACATACAAAGATATTACAATGTTATTGACTATATCTTCTATGTTGTACTTTTATCCCTATGCCAGTTTACTGATTCAAATGTTAATCTCATGCGGAAACACCCTCACAGGCACACCAAAAATAATGTATGAACAAATGTGCTCTGGACACCCTGTGGCCCAGTCAAGTGGACAAATGAAAATAACTATTACAGATTACTGTTCAGCCTTAAAAAGGAAGGAAATTCTGACACATGCTACAATAGGGATTGAGAACCTTATGATAAATGTAATAAGCTAGTCACAAAAGGACAAATGCTGTATGATTCCAGTCACATAAGGTACCTAGCATAGTCAAATCCATAGAGATAGAAAGGAGAATGGTGGTCACCAAGGGCCAGAGAGAAGAGGAAACAGGGAGTTATCATTGAATTGGAAATTAGAGTTTCAGTTTTGCAAGATGAAAAATCCTGGAGATAGATGGTGGTGATGGTTATACAACATTATGAATGTGTTTAATACTACTGAACTGTATACTTAAAAATGATTGAGATGTTAAATTTTGTCTTAAGTGTATTTTACCACAACTAAAAATAAAAGGAGACAGAGGATTCTGGGAAGATGGTGCATCTTCACTAGGAATCTGTCTTCCCTCTTAGACAACAGTTACACTGGCAAATCTGATATAACTCTTGGAACTCTGTCATCTGTTGAAGGCTTGCAACTTCCAGAAGTCTCAGATGTAAATAGATCTGAGGCTCTGAGTAGCAGTGATCACATGCTGGGGTAACAGTGATCATGGGCTCTGTGTAATTCCATTTTCTCTTTTGCTTCTTGAGCCCAATTGGCTCTACTCTTATGGTACTTCACCTTCTCCTTTTTGCTCCTTCTACCCATTCAACAGCTTTGTAACCAATTCCCAGTATTAGATTTTCCTACGTTAGATACTGCAGTGGTTTTATTTTCTTTTTTGGATGCTGACTGGTAACACTTTTCTTCAATTAGATTAGGTCAGTTGAGATCATTTGCCCCCTCCTAGACAAAAGAAATCACTATAATCCCTGAATGACTTTTAGCCTAACTGTGACCCACTTTCCCAGAACAGTTTCTTTTAAGTCACATAAGTGTATAGGAAAGAGGTAGATACCTGACTAAAGTTAGGATTTCACTAATAAGGAAAAAAGAGGGATGAGGGGCTTGATAGGCAAGCAAAGGTGTCTGAGGTCATGCAGCTAGCAAGAGAGGAAGCCAGGATACATGTCTAAGTCCACATGATGTGAAATACAGCACTGTACAGTATTGTACAGGGTGGAGTGTATAGAGCTGGGACTTGGACCCAAGTAAGTTCATTGCCAGTCTGTACCACAGTGTCTGCCTTTATATGTCTGGAGGGCAGCCTTGATCCCCAGATCTGGGAATGTAGGCCCTAGTGGTTGGAGTCACCAGATCTTACAAGCTGGCTTTTCATGAGGGGAGTATGGATTATAGACATATTTTACTTTTTTCCAATTGCTTTTTCCCTTGGGGCAGTCCAATTTTAGTCTTGTGATATGCACACGCATGGTGAAAGCCCACAGCTCTGACCATTTTCAGCTCAGAAAGTTGCAAACCTTCCATTAGTGGTGGTAGCTTCACCTCTGTCATTAGTAAAGTTGTGCTGAACAAAGGATATATTGCTCTATAATGCTCAGATTTTTTATTTTGCTACATGACATAGTATTGATCAAGTCTGGAGTCAGCCACAGTCACATTGACTTTTTTCCATTTATTCTGCCAACTTACTGGAAAGAGTCTAAGTTAAATAGTGTTTGGTCATTACCACAATCTGTCACTTAATATTTTTTTCATTTTTGGTCAGACTTTGTCATCTTCTACAGTATTTTAAGGCATTCTAAACCAAGGACAGGGTCTAGAGTTTTCTTCCATGGAATTATTCTTAGTGGTGAAGTCTGTATTTTAAAGGCTACCTATATAAGATGATTTCCTACAGACTTCTCAAATTTTGTCCTTAGATTTCCCTTCCTTCTTTACTTTCTTTCTTCCTTCCTTCCAACTGACTGTAACTCCTATTGCATGAGATTTAAGCAGCCTATGTCATACATTTTACTTAATTCCTGAAGAGTATCTCACTTCGTAAGCATTACGTAAGTGTTGAAATCATTCTTTTGAGGTTGGTTTAGGAAAAGAGGTGAGAGTGTGAAGAGCAAATCCTATTGTCCAGGTGTTATAATAACTGTTGATTAACTTTATGTGACTCCCTGAGGTCAAACAATTCACCTCTCTGGTCTTCTGCAGCAGTGAACATTGTCATAGATTTTCTAATTCTGATGTACAGGGTTGTATGGGTGATAAAGAATGCAAATAAGGGGTAATGTCAAGGAAGCTCAGTTGTATCTCCTAGAAATGAATATAGTGGTATATTTGTGCATGGGGCAGGAGAAAGATAGATGGTGTATCAGAAGGACATGGATGGTATGGCTGGAGTATACTCAGGCCCCGAAGTTGACTCAGGCCCTGACTAGCTAGGACAGAGCCTCTAAGGGCCTGGAAACTTGCACAGGATATGGACCTCACCCTCAGCACATGCATGTATGCTTTAAAGGAAACAGAAATCATCCATCTGTAATCCATTTTCTTTGTGGTACATGGCACCTGAGAAGGTATGCAGTTAATTAAGAACCCATTATTACTAATGATGGTCAACAACACACTTTGAAGCCAGAGCATGGCACAACATATTTCTTCCATTTCTTTTTTGTTCATTTCAGGCCAAGTTAAGTCAGCCTTAGAAAGGTACCAGTCTTCCTACCCTTTTCCTCCAGTCTCCTACCCTTATCCAGCCCTTGTCTTGTGGAAACTGCTTTCATCCTGCAGGTGTTCCAACAGGTAAGTCCATGTAGATTCCATTCCATCCAGGAATCACGACAGATTTTTATAGCTTTTCTTGGGTGTCTTCTTTGTTCTTTAGACTCTTCAGGGAAGCACATTCATAAAACAAACTCATCTATTGCTACTGTTAATTACTTCTCATGAACCCCTTTGATGCTTGTTATGATAAAAGACTCCTGCCTATCAGAGCTGAGGGTGAGGAGGAACGAAGCAGTCAAAGGGATGGGGAACCCTATAGAGACATAAACCTACCCATACATGTCCATAGGCCAGACCCTGGAGTAGCCCTGGGGCTACACCCAATTATTCTGAGATCTGTGAGGAGTTGAAAGGTACATAAAGACTGACTTATGAGTAGTGGCTGTGTTAAGTGGGAGTGTATGTGGTGTCCACTCCGTGGGCAGTGCTATGAGATTGTAATGACACAGCTTCCCTCCACCTTACCAGTTTGTGTACAAGGGCTTTCTTTTTAGATGCTGGGACCAGCCAACCTTTCATCTATAGTGAGTGTTCTTCCTGCCTTATAAATTCTTGAGTTGTCTTTCTATGGATTTCCATTAATATGCATATTTAGGCAGAGAAAGACTGTCTTATTCCTATAGTCATTTATACAATATAAACTGAAATTCAGACCATCTTATGAAATGTATAAATATAACAGGCTGAAAAGCATTAGAAGTATCTCTAATAAATGTAATAAGTTATTTTTTGGACAACATTATTATTTTTAAAAGATATTTTATTGAGAGTAAATATATAGATTTGTGAGTTAATATTTAAAAATCTATTTAAGCTGCTCAGATAAATGTATAATCTAAATAGTTATGGTAGGAAGGCTGAAATGGGTTTGAACTTGGCAACATAAAACTAACATCCCTTGGCCTCTTTCCACAGCATTTTGCAGGCACACACTGGCTCATTTGAAGCTTTGACCTTCAGGATTTCAAAGGAAGGGACTAAGATGTTGTAAGCAGAAGGTATGTGTCACTTGAAATTGGTTTAAATTTGACACTCAACAGAAAAAAGTACGGTCATTAATTTGCTGATTGTACACAAAAGGGCACTTTTCCCTGTGAGGCTGTGTATCATGGGGTTGAGAGTGCAGACTCTGGAGCCAAACTCCCTGGTTCACAGCCCAGGTTGGCCATTTGCTAGCTGTGTGGCCTTGAGCAGGTCACACTGAAGCAGTTCTCTGTGCTTCAGTGTGCATCCTTTGATTGCCTGGATATCTGGATGGCAGTGTGCCAAATGGCACATGTCTTTTCTACCAAAAACATTTTGATTATAAGTGCTTAACATATGCGAAGTATGTAAGTACTTTCTGTCTTCATTATCAGTATTCTCATCTGCAAGCTGACATTAACCATTATGATTGCTGCAATAAGAAGATTTACTGGAAAACCAGTGGAAGCTCACAGAATGGAAAAGGGCAGGAGAGCCAAGTTTGGGAAAAGGGCAGGAGCAAGGATGCCATGGAGGCAGGTAGCAAAAGCTACACTCAGTATTGGTGTGCCCCTCAGATCTCCTCTGCCACTGGGATGCATTGGACCTCCAACATTTTCTGCTGTACCATTTGCCCTCAAGCTTCAGAGTCCAAGAATCAACGATATTTGGCTGAGTTTCTGGAATGCTCTTCCTGCCCTCCGCCCTGCACTGTATCAAAAGTAGATGAAAGATGTCTCTGACCCCCTTGGTTTCCATAGCAGGAGGTGGCAATGGAAAACAGTCACTGAGATCTGTACTAGTACCAAGACTACATAACATAGAGAATTCTACTAGTAGGAACATGTGGTGGTTAGAGTGGAGGTGTGTGGACTCTGAGTAGTCAGTCGCAAATCTCTGCTTTACTTGTATAAGACTTCAAATTTCCTCAGTAGCCTCATGAGCAGTAGTGTGCTGGTAAATGTTTAACAACTGGCTCTCTGGCCTTGATTTGTAGCATTTGAACATTTCTATAGGACAAACACTCCTGCGATGGCCAATTTCAAGCTACTCACATGGCATTTGAACACAGTTGGGAAGAGATGTGCAGTAACATACTATTATAATATTTCAGACATACAGCTACAACAGATGCAGATAACTTCAAGGGCATAGATAATGTGAAATATAGTAAAATGATTAGGAATTGATGAGTTTTGAGCATTACCTTTGTTAACATAATTTATTTAATTATAAGTTTGTATGATATAATTCTTAATAATGGCTATATTTTAACAAATGGCTTGCAAAATTCTTGAAAAGAATTTTATGATCCAGCTCCAGAATGCCACTGCCTATGAAACAGATCAATAATTTACTGAGAGAGAGAGAAAGAGTAAGTAAGATGCTGAGGGGAGAGGCCTAGGACTTGGAAATTTTGTACAGTAGTCTATAACACTGGGGACCCACAGTAATAGAATAAGAATGGTATCTGACATGCACTTAGCAAAACACATTCCTACCCAACATCTTACTTGTTTCTGATCCTTACATAAACCTAAGGAAAAACTAAGCAGGGTGTTTTACAGGTCAGAGAATTGAGAGAGCTGAAGTGACCACTGACAGGTTCAGGGGAGACTAAAATTCCCAATGCACAGCTTTTTCCATACAATCCTCTTTCTTTGAACCTCCTGCCATCACTGGAACAGCCATTTTTTACAGGTAGCCCATTAAATAATATGGGATGTGTTGTATTTATTCAGGTGTAATCAGGATGACCTGAATTCAGCCAGGGAGGTTTCCTTTTATATTCACAAATAAAGAATGAAATAAAGTTGGAGGCCCACAGAATGGGCAGTGATATAACCTGCTGTATTAGCAAGTTTAATAGCCTGACTCCAGCATGGCCGCCAGTGATCCTTCCCCTGGTGTTTATGTTCTTGTTCTTGGACTCCTACATTGAATAGGGCTAAACTGTGTGACTAACAGGATATTGCAGACGTGATGGTATACAACTTCTGAAGCTAGCCATAAAGGGCATTGCAGCTTCTGCCTTGTTCTATTGAGTCACTTTCTCTGAGGGAAGGTAGCACAGCGCTGTGAGGACACCCAAACAGCCCTGTGGAGAAGCCCACATGGGAAGGAACTGAGGCCTCCCACCAACAACCAGCACTACTTGACAGCCATGCAAGTGAGCCACCTTGGAAGTGGATCCTCTAGCTCTAGATAAGCTTTCAGATGACTGTGGCCCTGGCTGACAAGAGACTGTAACCTCATGAGAAATTGCAAAACAGAATTACCCAGTGAAGTACCCCCAAATTCTTGATCCACAGAAATTGAGAGAGATAAACAACATTTATGTGTTTGAAGTCAAGGAGTTTTGGGGATAATTTATTACACAGCAATAGATAAACATTTCTTTAAAATCTGCACCCATGTGGGCTATTAAAGAAGCACTTTAAGCAAATTGTTTTGTTTTGTATTTGTTCCCCCCCACCACCAAAATGAATTCAAGTCAGCATTGTAAAGCTTTTACAAAATAACTTTTGAAGTGCAGTTTATTATTGATTGCCTAAATGACCTGTTGTCCATAGAAAAGTGAACTCAGTATACTGAGTACACCTGCAACTCTGAAGAGCAAGGTTGCTTGAGCTGGAATTCACTCACATTCCATTTGTGTATGTCACACTCCACAGATGTGGAGTCAGCTCACAGCAGTTATCCAATAGCCCTTTAGACCCCCACCTCACCATCACCTTTAATCTGGGGGTGGGGGGGGTCTCTGGTCCAGTGCAGCCTGTCCTTTGGGAAAGCAGGGACAGGGGGAAATAATGAAATAAATTAATTAGGAAGGGAGGGTTAGGGACCCCACTGGATGCTGGAGGTGGAAATCATTTGCCAAACATCCCTGGGAGGCTGAGCTGTGGCCTCTTCTCCTGGTGTCCCCACCCGCTGAAGTTCGCTCCTAAAGAAATACACCCACGTTGCCAAGGGCGCAGGAGAGGATCTCTGCGAAGCAGGAGGCTTTTGTGCCTGCTGGGAGAGTCGGAGCCGGGATTACACCAGCTCTTCAGCGCGTTTCCTCCGAGCTGAGGAAGGCCTGGCGCGGACCCGGGAGTAGGCGCCCAAGGCGGGGCGCCCTCGTGCGGGCGCGAGGAGACCGCGAGGTGGGGGCCTGGGAGGTGTGCCTCGCTGCCAGAAGCAATCCGCGCCGGACGCGCACTGCCACCACGCCTGCAGCATGGAGTGGGAGTTCAACTTTCTGCTCTACCTGGCGCTCTTCTTCTTCCTGCTCTTCTTACTTTTCCTGCTGCTCTTCGTGGTCATCAAGCAGCTGAAGAACTCCGTGACCAGCACGGCCGGGGCGCTGCAGCCCGGGCGCCTCTCGCTGCACCGGGAGCCTTGGGGCTTCTCCCGCGAGCAGGCGGTGTGACTGACAAGGCGCGGGAACTGGCGGGAGGGTACCGAGCGGCGCGGGCGCCGGGCTGGGTCTCAAGTCTCGATTTTCTGTCCGCGTGGCCGCGCAGGCTCCAGTACCAGGTTCAGCTGTAGCGCCGGCAGGTTGGTTCGGGGGTGGAAAGAGTAAGCAGAAGGGCGAGTTCCTCCGCGCCTGAAAGAGACTCGGTGCCAGCTGCCCTCTCGGGTGCCAGGGACAGCGGATGTATGGGGTCTGGACTGGCTCTGTGCTCTTAGGGACAGGCCCTGAGCTTTTTGGGGACGGGGACAGATGGAGAAAAGAGGGAAGTTCGGCCTCTGGAGCCCGAATGGCTCTGGGCACGTGCCAGCTGTTCTTCCCAGTCTTAACTGCATTTTAGCTTGCACCCAAGCGATGGAAAACTAAATCTTTAAGAAAATTCAGTCCAGCCTCCTCCAAACAAAATCTGATATTAACCTAAATATCCAAATTATTGAGAGAGTGTGAGCTTTGGGATGGAAGGCAGGAGGAAACAGGACTCAAAATATTCCAAATATCGCTTTAAGTATCTTTTTTTGAGCCTTGGTAGAAGCTAAACGGGGTTCAACTGGCAGTGCCAAGGGAAATGGATTCAGTGGCCCATTTGCTATGGGGAATTTCTTCGTGCCCTTAATCCCTACTCCAGTTCTAGCCACAGACCCCATTTGGTGCCTGCATGTTGCTGCGCCGGGTGGTTTTAGAATCTGAAACAACGGGATGGTGAGCATTAGAGTGAGAGTTATTTGGGAGATGTCGTAGCGTTGCCTTGGAGGGCTAGTGTAAAAGAGGTGTACACGTTGCAGGGTGACAAGAAAAAGAGGGACAGGAGGGGGGAGACTGTCATTTTAGGCTACATGATTACAGCATTTGAGAGAAGATTGATGGGCAGGAAGAAGCATTTCACTGGTGCCCTAAGCACACAAACACCCTCTCCAAGGGCAGTGTTAGTTAGGGAAATGACAACTTCATGTTCCAGATGCTTTCTCATTGATTTACGTCGTCTCAAATTCTGGAGCCGACCTGCTGCCCTGGGCTGGTGCGCGGAGGACCACAGCCGTACTTAGAGCCGGCTAACCGGGAACCCTGAGCAGAGAGGACGGGAACACCCGGAAATGGAAGTTCTCTGCGAATGGTAAAGTGGGGACCAGCCTCAGTTTCACTTTGTCCCTGGTTATGGCTAAACTTATGAAGACCCAGGGCCTAAGAAACCAAGAGGTTAGGTGGAGGGAAAGAATGAAGTGAAATAAGGGATTCTCTCCCACTCAGAACCTGTGAGCTTCTACCGTATACCTAGCCAAACTGATTACAAACCCGAAGAATCAATGCCAAGATAGAGAATCATAGAAATTAGAATGGGGTGTGAGGAATGTTTGCAATTCTAATAATCATTCTTCTCTTTTGGAAAACAGTGCAGGGGATCTTGGGGTTGGAATATGTAATGTAGATATAATTTATCTTCAATAAGGGAAGATTTGGTTTCAGTAATGTTAAGGTAAGATAAGCTGTCCATATTATGACTGTAATACTGAAAATATTTATAACTTTTAGGCACAAAGAGAGACCATGTAGAGAGGCTAAAAACGGTGAAACACTAAGCTTTGCCTAAGTTTATAACGCTATAGTGAAATGGAAGACAATTATTTTGATAATTCAGGGAAAGGAAAAAATAGTCTCACTTAGGTGAATAATTAGGGAGAAAGCTTTTGGCCTGAGACATACAGATAATTTCCCACCTGTTCTATGTTAGTTTGGTAGAAGAAACCTGTTAACAAAGTAAGTGGTTTATTTTAAATAAAGTATCATGAACAAATTCGCATGTGTATATAAGACTGCATACACACACTTGTCTTTATCAGAGCTACTGTAGACTTGACTTGAATTTCTAGTTTGAAATCAGAATCAACTGCAGTGATTCTATATTGTACTTTGAAATAGAGTTCTCTAGTTGACACCTCTGTAGTGGCACTTAAGTTATGTATTGTATGGTTAATGTGGACATTGAAGATGAGTGTGGGAATAGTTAATTAGCAATTATAGTTGTTCATATGGATAGAAAACAATCACTTCATACTTTATAAATAACCAGAATGCAGATTATTTTAACCATTTGCTTGACTTCTTATTTTGTCATTATTTCATCTTCCTAGCTGTGCCACTGGTGTCCAGAGGTTTAAACTACCTGTGACTCTTCCAGAGAGGAAATTATAGAGAATCCAGGGTGAGTAGTTTGATGTTATCCCAGTAGAAAGCTGATCTCTTTGCTGGTTCTGCTGACTGTTTCCTATGAAAGGAGTGGTTACTTTTCTATCTTCTGTCCAGTGCCATTTTATAACCTCCTCATAATCTAATTCCTTGGTTACTGAGTTCCCATATACCCAGGCAAAAAAATGAATATTTATTCCTATTACCTGATCTCTGCCTGGAATTTATCCCTAAACTCTGGGAATTAAGTTCTTCACACATTTGGCCTCATAACTTGCTGCTGTGGCTCTCCTGCTTTGCCCTTGCCTTCTTAGAAATGCTGCTTGTTGATACGTGTATACGAGCTGCCTTTTTCCTATTCATTTATTCAATTGCTGTTTTTCCAAAACCCAGCATAGTTTGATGTCCCACATGAGAAATGCCTTTGAACTCATTTATTTTGCTACCTGTATGCATTCCTGAGCCAATGTTCTGACCAGTTGTCTAGGTTTCAGGCTTGTGCAGGTTGACTGCTCCATCCACTGACCACAGCCTGGTCCTGACCGTCACTATATCAAGTCTATTTTTGAGGACAGTGTACATTTGAGTTAGATATTAAAACACTTGAAAGGTCAGGAACATTTAAGTACCTGCTCATTATATAAGCAAAACATGATTATGGACAATTCCTATGTTTTATTTTCAATGAAAGGCTTTTAAGACTCCTCAGCAATGTTTGAAGCTGAGTCGAATTTCTTACATGATAAGGAAATGGGCCATAATTTGATTATTATGTAATATTAGAATTTTTCTCAGGTGTTCTTATTACATTGTTGTTTCTAAATTTCAGTGTTTAAAATGACTTCAAATCCTATTAGCATAATCTTGATTGTTTCACTAATTTCCAAACTTATAAGTGCAATGAATCTGCAGTTCTTCTTGGAAAGATGACCATTTTAAGTTGAATGAGAATGACATCACGATTACACCTGCAAAATCTAAAATGTCTAATAAAGTAGATTCCTGTGTCTGAACTTCAATTTTGGGGCACAGCTGTAGATCCTGGACTGATGCCATCTGGTGAGATTCTACAGAAGAAGAGAGAAAATTTACCCAGAGTGTGCCATGCACCAGCTTTTCTGGGAATGACAAGGTGCCAGGATTTGTTTTTGGTTCACTTGCAGGGGTGGAAACTTGGAACTAGGTGAGTAAAAAAAAATGCAATACCCCATTTTTAGCTTGACATTTTGTGTTTCCAATTTTGCCTATAGTTTCAAGATAAGTGCAATAGAGTTAAAGTTTTTAAATGGCCAAATCTTAAACACTGTAAATGGTTAAACCATTTAAGACAGTGGGAAATGTTTGTTTTTCTAAGTCATACCTACTAATATAGGGACTTTTAGAGTACTAGTGGTACTAATGTACTACATAGAATGTATTTGTAGAGCACTTTGGTTTTAATTTTTATAGATACTCTGAGGTAGTTGCACTTATTTAAGCTAAATCCACAATTAAAATTTTGGATCATTAGGAAATCATTGTCAGGTGTCTACATCTTAAAAATTGAGTTATTAGATCTTTGATGTTGATTTTTTGGTTTGAATCAGTGAAATAAATTCTCAATTCACTGTTTCTTTGCCTACATAAAAAATAAAGTAATTGATGAAATAAATGATATGGTTGATTATCTGAGTAGTTAGCATCTTACCATATAGGAATTTGAGTAATCAGAAGGGAAGACCTGTGTTTAGAACAGTAATCAGAACATAATAAGCACTCAGAAAAAATTTCCTGATAGATTAGGCTAAAAAATACTCTTATTTTCCTTAATAACAGCTATTTTACATAATATGCCCAATCTTTTATTCTATTCTTAGGCTGTGTAGACATAGGTGGGTGGGCTAAAGTTAAAATTTTTATACTCAACTTTTATTTTATTAGTATGACTGTGAAGTTACTTGAACTTATTGAATATGTACAGATTCTTCAAGCAAGATGTTTTTGACTTTCAGATGAAAATTTTGCTTTCTTATTGGGAATCAAGATGGACTGCTCTCTGGATAATAGAGTAGGAAGTTGCTGGACTGCACAGTGGCTTACACAAAGCAGGGTTTTGTTTTGTTCTCATGTAACAAGGAGGTTGGAGGTAGGCTATTGCTAGAGTTGGTTCACTAGCTTCCAGATGTCAGGGTCAAGGTGGTCCCTGAGGTTCCCTTGGATTTTCCTATGTTCCAAGATGGGTGCTGCAGCTGCCCAAAGGTGAAGGAAGCCCAAAAGGAAAACAGGCCATGCTCTTTCTTCAGTCTATTTCCTTTTAAGAGCTTTCTCAGCAGCCCAACAACTTCTGCTTATACCTCATGGGCCAGACTGTCATTGACTACTGCTATCTGCAAGGTTACCTAAGAAATGTCATTTTTGTAGCTGGACATATAACTGCCTTCAACAAAAGTGTGAGTTTTCTTCATGAAGAAGAAGATGATGGTGAATCTTGAGTGAGCAACCAGTAGTCTGTGCCCTGGCTACAAAATACAGTGGTAACTGAGCATAATGTTTGAAATACACCCAAACTTTAGCGCCTTCACAACTGGCAACCCTCCAGGCAAAACTCCTGTGCTCTGAGAGTAAGCAGAGTAAAGACATGCTAGGTTGCTTATAAAACACTTGCCCTTCTCCCTGAACCAACACACTTGCCCCGCTTCTTTCTAGAGGACCCTAGGAACCTGTACTCTTTCTTGGTGACTGTATCTCTTTATAGAGAGAGGTTTGGGATGGGATAAAGGATGTTCTGCCTTTCTGCTTCTCAGTCTACTTCATTTATCTCCTCTCTAATGTTCCTGATGGATTTTTGGCAGAGTTCTGTTTGGGTGTTTGATCCTACCTTTTATGCAGGGGAGGGTAATCTATGTAAAGAAAGACTACTTTACTCTGTGACTTCATCACCAATCTAGGAATATCCTGAGAGAAGAATTGCTTCTCAAAGCCGCTTCCTTAAACAGCCTACATCCTGGCTAAGTAAAGGAAGAAGAAACACTTCCCACATCCAGGACTATCCAAAAGAATTTTCTGTGATGACAGAAATGTTCTATATCTGCACTGTCCAATACAGTAGCCACTAGCCACAGGTGGCTAGTGAACACTTGAGATGTGGTTAGCATGAATGAGGAAGTAAAATTCAATTGTATTTAATTTTGAACAATTTAAATATAAATAGCCACATGTAACTAGTGGCTATTTTATTGTAGAGCACAGTGCACATCTTTTTCTTTCTTGTGTTTTAAAACTAGCTGGGAAGGGTTTGAGCCAGTCGTGTGCTTGGTGTTCCATAATCTTTACCCTTCCCCCTTGCCATTGAACTTGTCTCCCAGAGGAAAAATGGCATCTTGAAACTAAATTCACATTAACCTCATATTTATACATTGCACAAATTCCTGTAAAAATGGAATGGTCTTCTGGGAATAGATCCTGTGATTGATTTTAGTGATAATTGATCATGGAAAAGTGGTGGTGTTGGTCCACTTAACATTCCTAGTGAACAGTATGTGTTTCTAATTAGAATGAGTCAGCAGAGTTTATTTTGTTCTGTGGTGCAATTCATTCTTAGTTACTTTATTTTTTTAAGATTGTGGCTGCTAAATGATTATTCTGTGTATGTTTTTCAAAATACGTAGTGGTTTATATTTTTTAAAAGGCTGTGAAATAAAAAAAATTATATGTAACTCACTTTTTCTGTGTGTGAATTATTACCCGTACTTTTTAAGCAGTTAATTATGATGAGATTAACAGATGTAAGGAAGTATTCATTTTTATATCAGACTTCCTTTTTAATGGGTATGTTTATGTGCCAATTAATGTTATATTTCAAAATATTAAGTGATTCTTTGACTGTATTCAGACTTTGGGTAAAATATGAAGGTGGTCATGGTATTGGGTTAATTCTTTTCTCAAGTGTCTGGTTGTTTTTCTACACTGAGCAGCATTTGGATTTCTCTATAAGTGCCCATTTTGGGTTGTTTGTATTTTATTAAGTTGTAGGAATTCTTGATATATCCTAGACACTAATTCTTTATGAGATATATAATTGCAACAATTTTCTCCCAGTTTTTGGCTAGCCTCTTCATTTTCCTAACACTGTCTTTAAAAGAGGTATTTATTTTTAAAAGTTCTTTTTTATATTGAGGTACATGAAATAAAAATGTCTTAGTGTAGAGCTTAATGAATTTTGACATGTATATACATTCATGTAACCATTGTCAGATCAAGATATAGAACATTCTCACTAATTTTTTTACCCCTTCCCTTTTCACCCATCCCCCACCCCTTCCCGTGTGGCAACCATCAGTCTGTTCTCTGTGACTATGAGTCTATTTTTGTTTTGTTTGCTGTTTATTTGTTTTGATTTTTAGATTCCACATATAAGTGAAACCATTGGTATTTGTCTTTCTCCATCTGACTTATTTTACTTAGCACAACACTCTCTAGGTCCATTCATGTTGTTGAAAATGTCAAGATTTTATTCTCTTGGAATAAAGAGTAATATTCCATTGTATATATGTACCATATTTCTTTCATCTATTTATCTATCAATGGACATTTAGGTTGTTTCCATATTTTGACTGTTGTAAATTATGCTCCAACAAACATAAGAGTACATAATTTTGTTTTCTTCAGGTAAATTCCCAGAAGTGGAATTGCTGGGTCATATGGTATTTCAATTTTTAGTTTTTTGAGAAATCTCTGTACTGCTTTCCATAGTGGTTGCACCAATTTGCCATCCAACCAGCAGTGTACAAGGGTTCCCTTTTTTCCACATCCTTGCCAACACTTGTTATTTCCTATCTTGTTGATATTAGCCATTCTGACTGGTGTGAGGTGATATCCCATTGTGGTTTTGATTTGCATTTCCCTAATGATTAGTGATGTTGAGCAACTTTTCATGTATCTGTTTGCTATCTATATGTCTTTGGAGAAATATCTATTCAGGTCCTCTACCCATTTTTTAATAGCATTATTATTATTATTATTATTATTATTATTATTATTATTATTATTATTGTTATTATGTGAATGTTGAAGTGTATGAGTTCTTTATGTATTTTGGATATATCTAGCTTAAAAGAGGTATTTTTAATTTTGAAGTTAAATTTATCCACTTTTTTCTCCTATGTTTATTATTTTCTATGTCCTTTCTAAAAGACATTTAACTATCTTTTTGGTCACAAAAATATTCTCCTGTGACTTCTTCTAGACTAGAATCTTTATAGTTTTAACTTTTACTACATTCTGTCATCTTTCTCAAATTAATTTTTGTTTATAATATGAAGTAAGGATTGAGATTCTTTTTTTTTGTTCACATATTATAAGAACAGTTTTTTTTCTCCAATTTGTTGAAAAGACTTTCCTTCCCCCATTGGATAGCTTTGATATTTTCATCAAAAATCAAGTGACTGGTAAGTGTGGGATGATTTCAAGGCTGTCTATTCCATTACATAGGGTTATCCTTATACCATTACCACACTGACTTGATTACTATAGTTTTATAGTAAGTCTTGGTATTCAGTGAAAAATGTTATTGAATTTAACTTTTACAATAAACTGCTACTGAAAGCTGAGTCTACACACAAAAAGAGGGTTGAGTAATTTCAGCTGAAAATGGTTAAATTCAAAAAGAAAACCCCATCCTGATTCCATGCTTCCTTTATTTTTGCTCTTATCTCCTCACACAATCTGAATCTAGAGCTGTGGTAGCACTTGGTCAAAAGGATGTCCTCATAAAGCTACCTATCCTGATAAGTAAGAAATAAGCTTTTCTTTGTATTACAGTTGAGAGCAAACTACTTTTTAAAAGGGACTTTTTAGTAGAAAACTGAAGCGATACAGTACAAATTTAAAAAACCCAGAAGCTTATGAGTTGTTAGAATTCCATCTTTTTTACCAATGTAAGTATAGTCACAGATTGAACTGCCTTGATCAAGTATCAGACATCCATTTTGATGTTTTCACCTTAGTGGTATCTGATAGTTAAGTGGTTGGATACCTGATCATGCTTTTTAGGAATTTAGCAGGGGTGGTTTGGCATCAAATCAGGTCCTGTGCCCCACTTTCAGTTGTGTGCAGTTTTCCATGATGCTACTTCTTGTCCTTTACACATCTTCACTTGGAACTCACTACAAAGTTTCAACTCATTAGAGGAAAAGTGAATGGGCACTTCCATCCCACTAGTCCAATCTACTCCCCTCCTCAGAGCTATTGTTAGCAGTTTGACATATAGCTTTTAAAATTATTTTCTGTGTATTTGCTGTACATAGTTATTTGGTCACACTTACTCACATATGTATGCACATACACAAAAAGTTTTTAAAAGCAATATAGATGACATCAGACTATAAACATTGTGCAATTTGCTTTCTTCTCTAATATGTTGTGGCAGATTATATTTTCCAAAAGATGGCCACAGCCGTGTTTCCCATCTCACATTTTACAATGTAACTTGGACATTGAGAAAGGGCAGATTAGTGTCCTCTTCCCTTGAATCTTGTGACAAGACAGGCTTGTGACAACAGAGAGTGACAGAAGTGACATTGTCTGGCTTATGACACTAGGTCAGGAAAACCAAAGCAGTTTCTCTGCTGTTTGATGAAATACCTACTTTTGGAGCTCTGAGTCATCATGTAAGACTGGAATATCCTGAGGCTTTCATCATTCTCTGAAGAAACTCAGGCAAAGGAACAGGCCTGTGTAGGTGCTCTAGTCTAGTGCCCCAGCTAACAAACAGCCCCCAGCTGGGGTCCTCGCAGCTGTGGTTCTGGACCTCCTGGAGCGGAGACCAGCTAGTTTCACTGTGCCCTCTCTGAACCCTATTTGGTTTAAATCACTAAGTTTGGCAGAGTTTGTTACAGCAGTAGTAACTGGAGCATATGTCTTTAAAAATTTTAATGAAATTAAATGATTTAATGAAATTAGAATCAACTTTATTTAAATTGTATAGAATCATTAGCAACTTATTTAACAAACATACACTAGTGATGAACAGTAAATTTGTGGCTAATTCTTCTATATATTTTATTCATAGACATATGATTGCTGGGTCACTGGTTTAGAAATCTCCAGAGTCTGCTTGATACTGTTAGATACTGACAATCTCCAGCCTAAATGACTGTGCCTTTATATATCCATCTACTTCCCCACACTATTTGGTATTATGGGTGTTTAAAAAGTTTGCTCTCATATTGAACAAAACACTCAATAAAACCTTATTGGTTTGATTTGAGTAATTATGGGGTTTGTTCCTCTTGTTTATGCTTAATGGCCACTTTAATTTCCTTTTCTCTAAGTGCCTATTCATATCCTTTAACTTTTTTCTAACAGGTTATTTTTTAAAAGTAATTTATATACAGTAGTGATATATAATGACTATATATATATAATGACTACATATATAAAATCACTAAATGTATGTACATATATACATGCAATCATTAATAATTTGTCAGTTGACAGTTGAAATTGTTTTCTCCTGGTCAGTTCTGTGTTTTTGTTTTTATTTTATCTTACTGAAGCTTAAAATGATATATGCACTGTTTAACTGCCATAACTATATTCTGTAGGACAATTGTCCCCCTCATTTTATCTTCATTCTTCAAAAATTTCTTAGCTATTTTTGTGTATATGTGTGTGTATTTCATGAAAGTTAAGAATCAATTTGTCAATTTCCATTAACTAAAACAATTTGGGTGGGGATTGCATTGAATTTACACATTAATTTTCAGGAAGAATTGGCATCTTCTTTTGTGTCTACTAGGAATGATTTAAGTTATTTACGTCATATGGGAAATCTTGATACTGCTGCTTAAGTATTTGATGGATTTGATTTATGATATATATAAGGGATATTTAGTAGTTATTGCTTGTAAAAGAAAGCAATTGATTTTTATATATTCATCTTGTATCTGGCCCCTTATTAAATTCTTCTGTTTATTGTAATAATACTTTTTCAGTGATTTTCTTGGATTTTCTAGATGGTCAACCATATTGGGCAAATACTGTTTTGTTTCTTTACAACCTGCATTTGTGCAATTTATTTTCTTTCTTCTCATATTACGATGGCCAGGCATTGCTGGTGATAATGGGCATCCTTGTCTTCTATCTTATTCCTAATTTTAATGATTATACTTCTAGAGTTTAACCTTTAAGTATGATATTTGCTACAGCTTTCATATATGTTTCTCTTCATTTTCCAATGGGAATGCTTCTTGTTTTCTTTAGTGACTTGTTTTCTATTACTCACCAATATGTTGTGAGCAGCTTTCCAAATCCAAACATATATAGATAAATAATTTTAAGGTTTGCATAATATTTCATTGAATATATATACTAAAATTTACTCACCTACACCTCTACTGGTAAACAAACACATATATAATAAATATAATAAATATAAGTATAATTAAATCATTTGTATATATACACATATGTATAATCTAGATTGCTTTGAATCTCTTTGTGCAAACAACTTTCACATTTGTTTGATTCTTGGCAGTTAAAGTTAGTGGAGAAATCTAATTTTAATGCACATTTTTTTACAAATTGTTGAGGGCTGAATTAGCCCCCAGAATGGATTAACCAATTTATATTGCCATCAACAGTAAATGAGTGTGTTCAT